ATTCGCATAACCATGCTTCTTACAGATAGGAAAACTAAAGCACAGAATTCTTAAGTAACTTGTTCAAATCAGTAGCTGGGCTGGACACAAATCCAGGCTACGGGGTTCCAGAGGCCACCTCTTCTGGGAACTGGGTTTTACAGGAGCTATGGCGACGAGTGAGGTCTGCACGTGGTGCTTGAAGATGATCGGTGTACGAGAAATACATATTCACAGCTCCTGAGAACACAAGACGGAGCAGTAGCAGCACTGTGACCCAAGTACACTGGGAAGAGTGGTAACTCAGTGTCAGAGGCTGCAGCAACGTGTGGCCCACAGAGTTGGTCCTGCCCCAGAAAAATATATCCGGGCTCAGACAAAGGGACACTCATCCTCACTATATACTCATTATAATTGTCCCTCTCTAGCTTGGCCCCAAATCCAGTTTGTCTGGCAATCTCTGTTTCCTTCTGGGGAATAATTCTCTGTCCTTGATTAAGGATGGAGACCACTTTCAGGATGTGTATTCCAAGCCCGAACCTCACGGAATCCATGAGTCATGGAATCACAGTACAGGCCCAGAGCTGAGGCCGGATGGGAGAGACTGCAGACAGCAGTTAAAGAAGGCCACCGAAATATTTTAGGGAAGAAATTAAGACAGTGTAAATAGGATAGTGGAACTGAACTGATGGGCTTTAAAGAAATTTTAGAGGCAGGATCTATAGGATTTCCTAACACATGGGGTGTAGAGAATAAGAAAAACAGAGCAGACTGAGACTAGAGAATTCTCTTAGCAGAGCTGTCTTGAGGATGAGGTCACCATTGACTAGTTGCTGGTTAAGCAGGGAAGAGCTAGATCAGAAGAATTTTATGGCACAGATTTTGGGATGATAGAAGGGATCAATTACCCTTGGTTTAGACACAATGTTCAGGATGCCTGAGGCCTCGGGCAACTCAAGGGCGAGGCAGGGTCTTCAGAGGAACGGGTGAAGCTGAGTGCCAAGGACATGATTTGGGGAGATGTCCTCCTGCCAGAACTGGGACCAGGAGAGAAGCCGGAGAGAGGGAGGACTAGTCAGGGAAGTGCTACTGACGAAGCCAACAGACTGTGCCGTGAGCTTGAACAAACCGCTGTCCTGCCCTGGGTCTCTGCTTCCCATTCTGAGAAGAAAGGGTCTTGGATTAGGGTGATCTTTAAGTTCTCCCCCAACCTCCAAATATCCTGGCTCTTGAGGTGATGAGAATGTTCTAGCTCTCCTTGTGGTGGTAGTTACATGGCTGTGCACTTCGTCAAAACTCACTGTACACTTAGAATTGGTGCATTTTACTGGATGTAAATTAGGGGTGCCTGGGCGGTTCAGTTGGGTAAGCGCCCAACTCTTGATTTCAGGCCAAGACCTCAGGGTCGGGGGATCGAGCCCTGTGTTAGGCTCCATGCCCAGTGGGGAGTCCGCTGGAGAGTCTCTCTCTCTCTCTCTGCCCCTCTCACGCACGCACACTCTCTCTAAATTTTTTTTTAAAAGGATGTAAATTATACTTCATTTAAGTGGGTTTTAAAAATTTCTAAAAAAAAATTTTAAAATTCCCGTCTCCAAATAATTACCGTTCCACGCAAAATTATTAATGATAGTATGAAATATTCCATTTATGAGTATTTTTGCATCAGAGAGAAAGAAATACACATAAAAAAACATACATCCTCAGTCCCCGGGTCTGGGGGAGGGGGAATAGACACGCGTTAGAAGGAGCTGCTGTAAGAAATTAGTTTCTGACCATATTCCAGACATTGGTATGAGTGAGCAGATGTCTTGAAATGTTTTACAAACACATGGGGAAGTAATGAAGGCCTCTGGACGGCTCTCAGACCTGGCTCGTGCTGTAGGTTCTTTAGGGCAGCTCTGCCTCCCTGGGATCTGCAGCCCGCAGGTGCTCACGACCTCTAGACAAATCTGCTCAAGTCGTGGTTCTCTATGGAGAATCTTAGGGGCTACGGGAAGCTATGTGAGTCTCTACCATTGTACATACTGCAGTCTGGTCCTGCTAATTGACCATGAACTCCTCCAGGACAGGCATCAGGTCTTAGTTATCCTGAGCACGAGCCTAGTGTGGGATCACAGATGCTTGGCACATCCTGACAGAACCCAGCTTGGCTAGAATTCCCACCTCAGGAAGAATGTCTCCAAGATGCTGTTTACGTGATAAGGGTAAAAGCCTTATCTTCTCTTTTCTTTTTTCCTTCTGCTTTATTTTTTCTGGCTTCCAATGGATGGACCTTCCTTCCTTCCTTCCTTCCTCCCTCCCTCCCTCCCTCCCTCCCTTCCTTTCTCCTTTTCTGCATTACAAGGTGTAGAAGGAATTAGGGGCTGGCAGGAGTAGTGGCTAGATATTAAGGAGTAAACCCTAGTAATATTTCCTGCATGGAATAGTGACAAATTGTCTACCAATTTCTGCATCCTGTGACTACAAATAGTCAGCTCTGCCTGGAGTACACAATATGTGTTCTCGGAGATGAACCAGGTTGCCCAGCTAGTCTGGCCAAGCTCTCTGAGACTGTTCCGTGGTACGGCTGGGACCACAATCCAGAGGCTGCCTGCAAACTCGGCCTCCCTGTCCAGGGTAAGCAGGGGTGTCGGGATGCTAATTTTGGATCTTTGCTGAGTGGCAAATAAGCCTCTGTGTTTTGGAGGCCCGAATGAATCAAAACAGTTAAACACAAAAATGTGGAGACCTTGCATATTATCACTTTATGGGCATCTGTTTTAAAGTCGGGCAGACCTGAGGTTTAAACCTAAGTCCCCCACTTACTGGTTTGATGAATTGATATCAGTTATGTATACATTTACATTTTCACAGTTTCTTTTTCTGAGAAATGCAGTATTGATACATACTTCGCTAGGGTTTCAATGGGATGGATAAAGCACTTGGTATAGTTCTTGTTATACAAGAAATATCCAGGGGTAGCCTGGGTGGCTCAGTCAGCTAAAACATCTGCCTTCGGCTCAGGTCATGATCCCAGGGTCTGGGATTGAATCCTGCCTCAGACTTCTTGCTCAGCAGGGGGTCTGCTTCTCCCTCTCCCCTGTTTGTGTTCTCTCTCTCCCTGTGTCAAATTAATAAATCTTTAAACAAAATGTCCTATAAAGGGATAGTAATAATGACAGCAGGAAGAACAGTTGTGGTTTCTGTGACTCTCTGTCCTCTTCCATTAGCACAGGGGTTACAGTGTGTATTAAAGGAATGTTCATAACAGTTCTGACAAACCGCTGTGAAACACTGGAAGACAGGAAGATAAACAGCACAGTAACTTACACGAAATCAGTGAATACTCATTGAATGCTGAGCCTGGGCAAGTCACCGATAGATGCCTTAGGAAACAGGAAGAATCCCAAAATAAAAAGACGTGGTATAATCACTGAGGATTCACAACGTAAGAACAGTTCAACTACAACTTGACCTTCGAAAGGAATCTGATACTCAACATATCAAAAGATACTCAGTCCATCAAAGATAACCACGGGACAGGGCAGGCTCAGATCAGTGCGGTCTGAGAATTCTCTGTGGATTCGATTTGGATTTTACAGGAGGGATAAGATCTATCTAGACAGTGAAGAGAATGGAAGGCCACTCAGGGCAGAGACAGGACATTCAGAAGAGCTTGACGAGGTCCTGTTTATCCTGGCCTGAGGGACACAGCACTGTTTGGGTTTTGTTACATGGTAAGAGATAGTAGTGCCTTATTAACTAGAACCTCAAATTACCCGGAGAGGTCAGTCTCTGTGCTTGCCCACCCTTGGTCCCTTCCTAGGGAGAACTCCCCAGCCCCTTGTTGCTTCTGACTGGGTAGCCTGGACAGTCCTATTTTGTACCAAGAGGCAATGCTCCCGCTCCTCTGGGTTGAGAAGGCTGGGAAGGGGCATGTGGATCGAGAGTGTCCAGTCCAGCCATCTCTCCCAGGACAAAACAGTGCGACGGACCAATCTCATGCTCCTGTCCAGGGCTCTACACTAACAGACGCCCCATGAGTAGGCCAGCTGGCCATAGCGGTACAACGGAGTCTCCCGCAGCTGAGAAAGGTCTGGAAGAGCAGTGGGCTGAAAGCCTGAGTCAGGGGAGGAAGCTGGGTGTTGGTTAGAATCCTGACCAGGGACTTCAGGAGGGAGAGGAAGGCAGAGTCACCCGCTGGGGCGGCCCTGTTTTCTGACCACGTCACCTCTCCCGTCCCTCCCCTGCCCATATGAACACCAACCATCCTAACCCCGGCCCCCTCTGTTCTTGAAATCCAAGCGGCACTTCTGCTCTTTGCAACCAAGATCTTGAACTTTTCCAGTTATCCTGGTAACATATGGATGATCTAGTCCTGGGAAGTGATAGTACAAAAGGCTTTTGATTTGGGGTTTAATTGTAAGTAGGATTTCCATGACTGCTGTGCGTTTTATCAAAAGCACAAATATTAGTTTCCTATATGGAAATCACTCATGGATGGTTCAAATTTATTCTTATTCACCTGTAGACACAGCCCTCATCACACCCTGTCAATAACAGATGAATGTCCAGATGCTCTGGGCAGCTAGTAAATGATTTACTGCTAACCTTGAGCAAGAGTCACAGCTTGAGTTTCAACAAGAAACGAGCGGTGCTGGCCGTGCAAAGTAAGCCAAGGGGGAAATGTGCTTCTTAACCGTCAGCTTGCTTTAAGAAACAAGGGAAGTTCTAGTTTCTCCGCCAATGTTAAGTGTGTGTAAGTCCCTGACGGTGCCTCGGTGCTGTCCTCTGAATGGTTTTCCCTGGGGTCTGGAGCCTTACTCCCGGCCAGAAGACATCCTTCCGTGGGTTTCATTAGGAAGAAGCGATAAGACTGACAAGCAGATGCACTGGGTGTTTCGTGCAAAACCGAGTGTGTGCCAGGCTGAGCTGAATCCTAGAAAACCCCCTGCGACGTGGAGGAAACCCCCTTCCTGAAGTCTCTGCTTGGAAGTGTGACTAGTCTTCTCCCTGCCTGACCCCAAACACACCTAACCTACCTTTTGGGGTCCAGCTCCACTTCCTCTTCCTCTAGATGCCTTCTCTGAACTCCTCCCCACCAGGAGGGGTTTCCAGTTCCTATGCTACTATCTGCTCATCTCAGACTGTCTAGGAAAAAAAACCCAACAACGGTGGGTCTCAATCCTGGTGGCTTGCTGGAATCTACTTCTTGAGATTTTTCCTTTTTAAATGATGAACATACTTACGCCCCTGACAAAACCCCTGGATAACTGAATCAGAACTTCCGGGGTAGGCACCAGGGGGTCAGCATTTTTAAAAAGAATCTGCGGGGACTGAGTACCAGGGTTGAAATCTGCTGTGTCTTTTTTTGCTGTCTAGCTGGGAGCTGCTCAGGGAATGACCCCAGGCTCCCGTCCTGCTTTCGGGAACACCCAGCCCAGCCTGCCCACCGCCTGTGCGCACTGAGTGTTAGCAGAGGGACTGTAGCCTCAACTGAAAATCGAAACAATCCCTGGGGAGGGTATGGGGCATATTTTGTGATTTTTTTTTTTTTTTTTTTTGGTGAGAAAAGAGTTCTATGTCTTCATCCTCTGATACGGGCAACCTAAGAACATGAATTCCAAAGACGATAAATCTCCCCCCAACCCCATTAACATCCCACGGGAGGAACAGGCTGTGTTGTTGGTTATCTCCTGCTTTCAATTACAGCCTCCAGCCAGATTCCTCCGTGCGGCCTCTGAGGCCTGAGCCTTGTAAATGGCACCCTTTCAATTATTTATCTAAACAAAGGTGAGCCAGAGGGCAGCGCAAAACACTCAGTCTGTTGAACTTGAGCCCAACTCTACGTCCTTGGAATTCTTGCAGGACTTGGCTTTGTGGTTCCAATCTCCTTACCAGAAAAAAAAAAAAAAAAAAAAAAAAGGAAAAATGTGAAAAAGGCACATTAGAAATACAAGGCTATAAATTCTGTTTCAGAAGTGAGAGGAGGGCCCGGGGGCTCTGCAGAGTCCCAGGCGTTTCGGCTGGCGGCTCTTCTGTGGCCAGGCTGCTCAAAGCCAACAGTCATCACTCTCCCGCAAGGAGGGGGACCACGGACTCCCCTCCAGTTTTGCACCATCTCTCCTGTCAGTGGACACTTCACACTCTGTGTCACCGATGAATAATAAATCCCCTTAAAAAGAAACAGAGACGACCCACAGCGACCTGCAGCTATAAGGAGAGGAAAAGCCCCCTCATGCTGGTGAAGACAGGCTCCCGGCTCGTTGTCAGCAGGACAAGTGTTCTGACCTGTTCTCTGTGGGGATGCGCTGGCGCCCATCCTACCCCCCTCCCCTCACCGCCCCCGCCGACCAGCCTGTGGCATGCCCATGACACGGTCCGCGGTGTTGTGGATGCCCTGGCAGCCGTGGAGTGAGTAGTGAGAACTCCCCCCTGTGGGGCTCAGGCACCCCCTTCCTGTGCCATCGAATGTCAGCTGCAGAGAAAGGGTAATTTGGGTCCAACTGACCCGCCGGAGGAACTGCAGCAGGAACAGCAGCTGACATTTACTGCCCCCCCCGCCCCCCCACACCGCAATCTTCCTAGCGCTCTGCACCATGGGGCGGGGGGCGTTAGGCAGCCACATGGAGGTCTGGGGAGGTGAGGCGATTGCTCTGGTCTCACAAGTGATGGGGCTGGAATCGGTTCCAAGGTCCACCCGACTCAGAAGCCTGGGTTCCTAATCACGCCGTTACACAACCTTCCCTCGCCCCAGGACGGACACTCGAAAATGTTTCTAGAATCCACCTCTCTTCTCCATCTCTGCTGCCAACTACCTTAGTTCAGACCGAAAAATCACTCCAGCCTACTTTTTTTAAATAGCCTCTCAATTTATCTTCCGGCCTCCCATCTTTCCCACAGCCCACTGAGTGCAGATACTTTAAAGCATATCTATTTTATGACCCGGTGTAAGAACGTTCATTGGCTCCCAGTGCCTCTGACTCCAGTCCAATCATTCGTGAAGCATGAGTGGCCTCACCTCACCTCGCCTTTATCATTCCCCACCGGGATCTGGCTACATCAAAGGTCCAGCTCACAAGATCCCCGCCCCGTAACACATTCTCTGTCTCTTTCAGCTCTCACTCATTTAAATGTTTGTCCTTCCACCCAGACTGTGAGCTCCTAGGAGACAAGAGGCTTGTTGTCTTCACCTTCGTAATTTCCCCCAGATCTGGCAGAAGGGAAATGCTGATAAATATTACAAAGCTGACTCACCGATTGAATGAACAGAATCTCAAATTTGGGAGTCGGGGGAGGAAAGCAAAGATCACTGAATTTTTGACCACTGACCATATATGCATGGGGGTGTGTGTGTCTCAGTATAATCAATCTCAACAATTCCTATGTTATCCTCTTATTGATTTTACTCGTTTTGGGAATAATCATAAGACATAAAAAATTAAAGATTAAATTCTAACTAAAAATAGGCTTCCTTGACATCTTAGTCTAGACTTACTCCATTCAAAACTATTTTCCTCAGTAACGGCTATTAGTAGTAGTATCTGATCCTAGAATGTCTACTTTTTTCTTTCTTACCCAAAGTGCAATTTTCTTGATCAAAATTTCTCATTGACCACTACTATACTATTCTCACTTGTTTGCATAAAGAGCCAGTACCTGGTTAGGTTGATGGGCTTATTAAATTGAGTCTTGGACATCTTCCTGTCCCCCCTTTCCCCCCAACCCCCGCTGCCATGAGAACTGGAATTTAGTGTGTGTAGAAGTCAACATTGAGGTCTATCTCAACCTACTCTTCTTCTTGGACACCCTCCCTGGCTCTCTGAGCCAAGCCAGAAGATTCTTCCTCTGCCCCCGAACTTCCATAGTACTTGCTCTGTATGTCACTTGGATCCTGTCAAGGTCACACACAGCAAATGCCAATGGAAAAGGTGCTGAGCTGGGAACATCCTCCCCAGCTAAAATACAAGCACATCATGGGGCAATGGGTGGTGGAGTCTCGTCTCTGGACCTCTGTTTACTCACTGCAAAATAAGGGACTCCCACGGGTTGGGTTACATGGCTTCTTTCCAGCTTCTTCCCAGCTCTACAACTGTATGAAAAATGCCAGATATCTTGATACTATTTGAAAGCTCCCTCGTGGGGTAGAGGGTAAGGAGCAAGAGTACAGGACTTTGGGTCACAAACTCTTAAGAGCTGAAAACAATGATTTGGATGGAATGTTCCTCTTCATTTTCCAAAGGGCCACAGGACGGCTTCCTCAAACTCGACGTGCAACCAGGAGATATCCCCAGGAGATGGATGAGAGTGACTATCAATGGGCCAGGTGCTATAGGTTGTATTAACTATGCCATGACATACTCATCATGATAAAGATGGGTGATTACAACTACACACAAACTCAGAATCACACACATGGGAAAAACGATGTGAACGCTCATCTCAGTCAAGATCAACTGGTGTGAATTCAAAACACAATGCTTTACAGGAACCAAATGTACATCCCCCGAAGTGTGAGAAGTAGATGTCCAAATGGATTCCTCCAAGGATGAGCTTGAAGTAGTAAGGGACTTGGCCAGAGAAAGGGAGCCTTGGAGAACCAGCATTTTCTTACTAAGCTATACTTCATATCATTAAAAATAATTTATAAAGACATGTTAAAATGAGAACAAAATAATAGTTATTCGAGGGGGAAAGATAAAGATAGCAGAAATTTCGCCTAAAGAGAGCTTCTACACAGTTGAACACGATGTTTAGGGCTACCTTTTCTGGCAGCAAAACCCAAAAAAGGAGAAATGATGAGTTAGTTGTAATGCGTATAGGTTTGTATAAAAGGTAAGAAATTTACTAAAGGGAAGTTCATCACTCAGAGTCCCAAGTGGAAATAGAAGTTGCATTGAAATGAGGATAATCCAAGGCGGGGTTGTTTCCAAAGAGACTAAGGTACAAATATGTGGTCAGGGTGGAGGGAAACCACAAGGGTAAGTGCAGGAACTCAGGGCTGACGATATAGGAGCTGTTGCCCTTTGCAGGGGACTGAATACTGCCCTCCACCCAGGAACCTCAGAACATGTTCTTATTTGGGAATAAGGTCTATTATAGATGTAAGGAAGGGAAGGATGGAGAGAGCATACCGGATTGTGGTGGGTCCTCAACCCAGTGTAAGAAGGAGAAAAGAAGAAAAGGATACACAGAGACAGAGAAGGCGACCATTTAAAGAAGGAGGAGGAGATTGGAGTGATGTCCTTGCAAGCCAGGGAATCCTGGGATTGTTGGCAACTGCCAGAAGCTATTAGAGGAGCACGGGCTAGCTTCTCCTTAAGAACATGCAGAAGGAACCAATTCTGATGACGCCTTTGATTGCAGACTTCTGGCTCCCTGAACTGTAAAATACATTTCTTTGGTGTTAACCCATCCAGGTTGTGGTAATTTGTCATGGCAGCACCAGGAAATGAATCCAATGCACCGCAATTCTCAAAAGGATGAAAAGAGGGTGAGAAACTGAGTACAGGGGGAATGTGTGTGCTATGTGGGCCCCCGGGCGGAACAGGGACTTTTAGTGGCAGGAAAGGACCAGGCTGAGGCAGCCTTGCAAGAAGGGAGCCAGAGAAATAAGTGTCCCGACCTCAAACCTCTTTCCTCCATCCCTCCCATCTCCATCTGGGGCCTGCCACTAGTTATACCTAACAGGAAGCCAGAGGGGGTGTGGGCCCTGCAGACATGGGCCACATGGGCCAGCCCCCTGGCAAGGGGTGGACAAAAGCTCCCAGCATGAGGTGCAACCTCCAAGTGATCACTTCTGGGATGAAAAACCTGGAAAGTATTAAGCTAAGTCTTCCCTTCTGGAAAAGGGGCTGTTACTCCCCCCGGAAATGAGAGACATGGGTCTCTCTTCTCCTGTACTGGGTCCTCTTCAGCTGAGGTTTCTCTAACTCAAGCTCTCTCTTTGGCCTCTTTGTTCTTTTCTTCTGTCTCCATCCTCAGCCCTCATTGTGGCTTTCACTGCAACAGGGATCCCCACATCCGCACCATCAGCCCAACCTCTCTCTCCAGTTCCAGCCGTACTTACCAGTGATCCTGGGAAATCTTCACCCAGATAGCTCATGAACTGTTCAGAGTCAAAACATTTGAAAATCAACCATATCATCTTCTTTCCAAAACCAAGATCCCTTTGGAATTCCTCATCTCATTTCTCTAATCCATCTAGGTTTAAAGGCTCCAATTCATTCCCTTTACCCAAACATCAAGGCCCGTTGGTCTGAATAAAGGCATTGTACTTCCATTCACCCCTTCTCTCCATTTCTACAACTGCCACCACTTGCGTCAAAGCCACATCCGTCTACACTGGGGAATGGCTAACAAGCTCTGAGCTGGTTTCCACAACTCCAGGTTCCCAGGTCTTTCAAGTCTGCCATGGCCAGGGCAATACCGCCTTCCCTATGCCATGCTACTGTTCAAATTCTCAGTGACCCCTTCTGCTGCAGGCCCTCACTCGTCAGATCCATGATCCCCTCTCCCCCCACTGGCTGCTGAGGATCGTCACGTTCCAACTCTATTCTCTTCCAACCTCACTCTGCACCATCCGTCAAAGGAGAACTTTGCTGTGGCCAGACTACTTCTTTTGCTGTCTTACCCTCACGCTGTGCTCATGCCTGTCCCTTTATCATGAGAACGATCATCTCTGCTCTGTATACGAATCTGCCATGAATCCAAATGAACTGAAAGCATTTGTCAAAAATCTTACAGACCTCATACACAGTCAATATTTTCTTGGTGATCAGTGGTAAGGATATACCTGACCATGACCTTTTGTATCCGCCCCTGTATCCTCATTTTTCAGATTAACCTACAAGCCATGTGCGATGGTAGTTTGTGCTTCTCTCGGTCAAGGAAGATACTACAGCACAGTAATTAAGAGCTTGAGCTCTGGTGTTAGACGTGAATTAGGGTTCAAGTCCATCCACTACTATTTGTGTGACCTTGGACAAGTCGCCTACCTCCTCTTTGTGTCTCAGTTCTCTCTCCAGTTAAGTGGCAGCTTGAAACGTGCCTCACAGAGTCGCTGCGGAGGTAAGAAGAGCTAGCTAGTTTAGGTGAAGCACTTAGCACAGTACAGGCATAAAACCAGGTTCTTAATGATATAAACAGTGAACAGCAGTCAGGCAACTTCTCCTCAAGGCTGGTAAGTGACATTTCTGCAGCCCAGACATGGCAGTTGGTTGCTGGGTCACATCATGCGGTCCCCATTCTCGTTATCCTTGTCTCTTAAAGCCAGTAATTTTGCTCAGTCATGCGAGGTCTAAGAAAAAGCAGAGATAAACTTCCAGACCACAGTTTTCCCAAACAACCAAACCTATAATCAGTGCTTCTGTGGGTCCCAAACCGTCTTGTATCCTTAGTAGACTCTGTGAGAAACTGGCCATCGTGGGCAGACTACGGCCTGTCATGTCCACATTTATCAACACCGTTAGCTACATTTTGGGCCTTGCTCAAGGTCAACATCAAAAGCTCATCAAAAGGTTGTCTACGTAGAGATGCAAACAGGAATGAAGAGTTATACGCACATTGCAGTCGCTGCAATGGGTAGTAATCTAGTATGAG